GAATGGGTAATGAAGAAAAACTTTAATATAACAGCAAATGTACAATGATGACAAAACCTTGTCGAAACGTTGTACATTTGCTGTTATATTAAAGTTTTTCTTCATTACCCATTCAAGCCATCTCCAGCCATTATCCAGCTGATAAATTATTTTTATTTCAGCATATAGAATATGTATCTGAAAGTTTGTGTTTAATTTAATTAAATGTGTAATGTTTTAATATTTTTATCAACTTGGTAATTTGTTTTCATAATAACTGTTTCCATGAATTATTTATGGAAAAAATCAGAACTCAAACTGCTATTTTTTTAATGTAAAATGTTCTTTCTCACAGCAGTTTAAATGTAATTATTTACCAGATTAGCATAAAAGAAATAGCACACGAAGAGTGTAAGATTGTAGATATAAGATACATCATGATATTAAGTTTTCAATATTCACTAATACAGTTCCAACTATGTATGTCTTTGTGAGTGACTCAGTTTCATTGCTTTTGTTCAATGTAGCATGATGTCTTTAAGATAGACCTTTAATTGATAAAGTAGTTTGTTCCCAGTTGTAATATAATTGTTGAGATCCTGTTGTTACTTCTGAGTGTTATTTAATATTAATGATTAACTAATTGTCTCAGACACACCTATCAAAACAGCAGCAAGCATTCAGGCCAAGAGTTGTGCTACATTGTATTAGGACAGTGATTATTAGCTGTACCTGTAACTACATCATATTAAGACAGCAATTATTAAGACCCATATATGTAACTACATCGTATTAGGACCTATAAATATGACTACGCAGTACTAGAACTGAAATTATAATTAGAACCCATATCTCTAACTTCACAGTATTAGGATAGTGATTATTAAGACCCATGTCTAACTACGTGGTATTAGGACCCATAGATATGACTACACTGTACTAGAATTGCAATTATTATTAGAATCCATATCTCTAACTTCACGGTATTAGGATAGTGGTTATTAAGACCCATGTCTAACTATGTGGCATTAGGACCCATAGATATGACTACACTGTACTAGAATTGCAATTATTATTAGAATCCATATCTCTAACTTCACAGTATTAGGATAGTGATTATTAAGACCTGTATCTGTAACTAAGTGGTGTTTGGAAAGCATTTATTAGGACCTATGTATGTAATACATCTTCAAGTATTTTTTACAGGGCAGTATATTGGTGTTCAGGGTAGTGTCAGCTTTGAATGCTTTTAGTATGTTTTACCCAGATATGAAATAGTATATTTTATATTCTTCAAATTTTCAGAAATCTTCTGGCTTTAACGTATAAAATATTAGTTTTAATGTGTATATTAATAATGGAAATGTTTGTTAATTATCTTCTGGCTTTAACGTATAAAATATTAGTTTTATGTGTATATTAATAATGGAAATGTTTGTTAATTAATCTTCTGGCTTTATTTTAAAACATTTTTATTTTTGTAGGTGTCATTAATGGGCAATATTCATTTTAGAAAATTATATTTGGTTTTATATCTTTTGAAAGGTTTTTGGTTTGTTAGTAGAGAAAATTACATTGAATTCTCTCTGTATCTTATATAAAAAGAAAGTTTTAATTTTTTTTTAGAATTTTTGGCAGCATGAGGTTCTCACTTTTATTATGATTTATTATTTCATAGATTTTTTGTAAGTTGTTGGTTTTAGCATTTTTCTCTAATTTACTCTAGGTGTGGATGTTGACTGGAGACAGACTGGAAACAGCCATAAGCATAGCCAAATCTTCTCGACTGGTCTCGAGAACTCAACAGATACATATTTTTGACTCGGTTACATCTCGCACAGAAGCTCACCTTGAATTGAACGCCTTCAGACGGAAAAACGATTATGTCCTCATTATTAAAGGCGATGCATTAGAGGTATGTTTTCTATAAATAGTACTGTAGGATTATAGAGATGTAGTCTTGGTGTGTGACCGTATTGGATAGGTATACTCATTTATTGTCAATTCAACATAGATGGTTTATATTTTGTACTTCTAATATTGGATTAAGATATGTATTGAAGAGTTCATTAAGAATTTAATTTTGTTGCTTTGTCTTTATGTTTGTATTAAATTTTGTGGTGGATAACCTTATACCATTTTTGTTCATATTTCTCATTAGGTTTGTCTAAAGTTTTACCCAAAAGAATTCATGGAGTTGGCTTGCCAGTGTCCTGCTGTTGTTTGTTGTCGGTGTTCACCGACACAGAAAGCCGAGGTGGTCAGACTTATCAAACATCATACTGGGAAAAGGACTTCAGCTGTTGGTAAAGTCTTTTGGTGTCGTCAGATTTGTTTTTGGCATTATCTCGGACAAAACAACTAGCTGACAGTTGCATGGTTATTGTTTACAGCAAGACTCCTTACTGCTGATGATAATGTGTTGTAATTTTGATATTTTTGAGTCCCAAAGGATAAAATTGAAATTCACCATATGTTTCAGAAGTTTAAAGATAATGGTGTTTAAATCAGAGGGTAACTACAAAGTTGCCCCCTCCCCACATAAAATTAATTGGGACCCCTACATTTATTCCCCTTGTTGGAAATTCTTAAGTTTGTCAGTCCTTTCAAGCCTTCTTTTGCCCCCCCCCCTCTGCAATTGCAGGGGCATACTCATGCCACTAGTTAAAATATACATTGTTGTGCAAGAGGGTAGAAAAATTGAGCATATTTTAAAAGTTAGTTCTTGGTAACAGAAAGATTAATGTAAGTGTTTCAACCATCAACTTACCATTGTATACAATTTACTACATCATACATTTTTGACTTTTACAACATTTAGTGTAATAGAGAAATGAAAAATCTATCTGCAGACATTTTGTGCAAATTATCAGTTATCACTACCGTGTGCTTATAACAACTCATTCGTCCTGTTACACAGAAGTTGCAGTGAGAAAAAAACGTAGCAAAAATATGTATGTTTGAGAGCTAGTGGTGAGAATGTCCTTTTAATTATCTGCAACACAAGGTACACAACACGGGCTCAGCTACGTGGAAAGTTTCCTTAAATACTTTCTTTTCCATTTCATCTCCATGAACCGACCAAAACAAATTGGATGAAAATTGTTCATTTTTGTATGTGAAATACATAGGGAATCCCAGCAGTCATTAATGAGATTAATTACAGTATTAACATAATTTTTGTTTAAAAATTGTTTTGTGAAAATTTTATGTAATTAGGGATCCTGTAACCAACAAAGTCACGGACTCCATAAGCAAGCTGGTGTACGAGTAGTTTAGAAAAATGTGTTTAAAAAATTCTGGGATTAGAAACTGGATAAAACAAATTGTTCATCCAGATTAACTTAATAACTCGGTTTGTTGGAGTAAACTATCATTTTTAACATGAAACAAACATAAGTCATAGCAGCACTACGCATTTTCAATCAACTTCTGTTTTCCTGTAAGCTAGGCTAGACACACAGTGCGTGGTCAAAGTGGTTTCAAAGCATTAAAACAAAAGGACTTGTTGAAAAACTTTGTTTGGGCATTCATTATAGTTGTTATGATTCAGTTTACATGAAAATAGTGTAGTTAGAATGAATTACTGAATGTTTTCGGAGCTTTTTTTTTCCCTCTTGGTTATTAATGAGTACAAATAATTAAGTTATGGTAACTAGCTCTTTGGAAATTGCGGCTCATGCCAATAGATGGTATTGTTGTTAAACATACAAATGTCAGAATATACATGATTCTTCAAGGTACGTCATTATTAATTTCTACGTCCAATGTTTCAGGAGACGGAGGAAATGACGTCAGCATGATTCAAGCTGCAGATGCTGGTATTGGTATTGTAGGTAAGGAAGGAAAACAGGCATCTTTGGCAGCAGATTTTTCCATCACACAGTTTAGTCACGTGGCCAGACTCCTCCTTGTGCATGGCCGCTACAGGTAAAAATGTGTTTTCAAATTAAGTTTGAATGCATAGAAATGATTCAGTGAATCTTTGATTATCACCATAGCTATGCACCCATACTCTCAACCCTTCACTAGACTTACAGCTTTATAAAGAACATGAAAATGTTAACAGGGGCTTGGAATTACAGTTATAAATTAAAAACTTTATTACAAACAGTTTGAATATCACTATGATGAATCAGTGCATGATTTAAATGAACAAAATGTTAAATACTAAGGCCAAAGTCAGGGGACTGTACTTTCAGGGACATGTTGATTATCCAGATTACCTTTTAAGATACAGTTTATTAATGTGTTTAGCTTTATCTACACATTTGTAATGTGTAATTTCTTCAGAGGTATTAACAATTTCCTGCCCTCTGGTCAAATTTCAACAAATACGTATGCCATTGTTCTATCTTTTATTCCTACAATATTTTACTGTATTTTTCAAAGACAGACCAATGAATCTATAAAAATAATGATCTATATACCTCTTCTTTTTATATGACATGGAACTTTGGAATATGTGTGTGATATTTTCATATTATATTGTGTAACTAAATCAATGAATAGTTTATTTATGTGCTTGTTGTATAGGTGTACATTTATTAGTTTCATTGATGTTCTTGTGTTTTTAAATGTTACTTTATAATATTTTACAAAGGGGGAAAAAGGAAATTCTTATTCAAAATCAGGCTTATTCTTATATCACTAAAAAACATTGAACTCATCTAAATTTTCACATAAATCACAAGTCTGTAGTTAAACTTTCACACAAGACATAAGACCCCATCTAAACTTTCACACAAGACACAAGTCCCCATCTAAACTTTCACACAAGACACAAGTCCCCATCTAAACTTTCACACAAGACACAAGTCCCCATCTAAACTTTCACACAAGACACAAGCCTCCATCTAAACTTTCACACAAGACACAAGTCCCCATCTAAACTTTCACACAAGACACAAGTCCCCATCTAAACTTTCACACAAGACACAAGTCCCTAGCTAATATTTTACACAAGACACAAGTCCCTAGCTAAACTTTCACAGAGACACAAGTCCCCATCTAAACTTTCACACCAGACACAAGTCCCTAGCATAATTTTTTGCAACAACCAAACTGGTTCCAAAATGTAGTAGGTAAATTTTAAAATAACTAAGTGTACAAAATGTGTAACGAAATAACATGTTGATATAAAAATGCTGCTGCTTTAAAATCACCTCCTTATATTTTTGTTTATAAAGTTTTTTAGCGTGGTCTGGTGGTAAGTAATGTGGATCAGAGGTTCCATGTTCAAGTCATGAAACCATTAAATATGCCCTACACTTTCAGCTGTGGTAGCATTATAAAAGTGACAGTCAATTCTCTTACTTGGTTCATAGAACCAGACAAAGCTCCTATGGTGGCGAGCACTGCTTACTAGTTTATCAGTAGTTGAAAGTTAAGGACAACTGAACCGTATGGGTCTATGACAGCCATGTATCCTGTGTTGTGTGACATGTCATTCAAGTTGCAAGTGTGAAATATAAAGCGATTACTTCTGGTCTTAGATGTCATTTCAGTATTAGATACAAAGAGAGCCTAATTTCTACATGTACATAAATGTTATATGATACTGTTCTGTTTTAACTATAAAGGTATGGTTTCTCTAGCAATGTTTCGTAAAATTTCTGAAGTCTGCTGTAGTTCATCAGGAGCTCTAATTAATGTATTTCCTTTTGTGGTTACTAGTGTATTGATCTTGTATACTTATTTATCTTGTAACCGTGAATATGAAAGGGTTGATAAAAAGTTTTATCAAGTTATTTTTGTGTTTAGAATGATATTTTTAGGTCTTGTTTGCAGTAGTTAGGTATATTAACCCATTTGTTGGAAATAATAAAGTATTTTCTTCTTATTAGCTTCACAGTTAATATTTGATTGAAAAGAATTAGAGTCACCATTTCAAGAATTATGTCGTACAGTTAGACGTTAGTCAAGCTGTCGCTCACTGAAAGATGTTTGTGAGCCCTAGATGTAAAGAACCAGTATGTGCACGTACTCATTGTGAATCGATGTGTATGGGAATAAAATAGTTACAGTTTTAAACCTTTAATCTTCCAGTTACAAAAGATCAGCATCACTAAGTCAGTTTGTTATTCATCGAGGACTCATCATCTCAACGATGCAGGCAGTTTTCTCATCTGTTTTCTTCTTTGCATCAGTTGCCCTGTATCAGGGTTTTTTAATGGTTGGGTAGGTATTGATATGGGGGTTATTGTTTTTTGAGATATTTCTAATGGTTAAGCAACATTTGGATCTAACTAGTCATGTATGTAAGAGTTTTTTGATAATTGGCTGGTAAAATGTTACTGTTACCATTCATGTACATGGTTATTTTCTGATTATTGAGTGCATTTAAATTTGGCTAAACATGTAAATGTGTAACTTAATTTTTATTATTAAAATATTTTATACTAAAAATGATTATTGTTAAGTAGTAGTTGTAATGAAACTTTAATATCACGGGAAATATCTTAGCCCTAGTTTCCATTCTTATTGGAAAGTTTTATTATGAATGCTACTGTATAAAGCATGTATTAATTAGTTACTGCTTCTGAACGTTAATAAGGTAACTTTTTAAGTATTATGTATGTTAATAACAACAGTTTGGTTAAATGCTTACAAGAGTACAGTGTTAATATTAATTTTATAACAAATCAATGCATAAAGATCGTAATATTATTTACAACTAGTTAGAAAACTTGAGGTTAAAATGATAATGTTGCCTTGTTTCATCAGTTAAACATCTGTACTCTTAACATTATATTGCCCCCCCCTACATTTAAAAAAAATTACGTATTATGATGTGAACTTAACGTCATAGTTCAACTAAATATTTTTAGTAATTATTTATTCAAACTATAAATTTATGTTTGTAATATTCTTTTAGTCTGATGATTTGCACTGTAAAAGCTGATCCCCTGAGTACATGTTTTTGCCCCCCTCTGAACTTATTTTTGTGGGCACCCCTGAGTACGAGTTGTATTTTGATACTTATGTTTTGAATTTTGATATTAAATATTTGATACTTAAACTATTGTGATGAACTACCTATGCTGTTAAATGTAAGGAGCTACATAACATTTAAATGATAGAGTTTCCATTAGTCACTTAATCACCAGGAACTTCTGTGCTCTACTCAACTCTGCTTTTGTCGGTGAAACAATATTTATTCTAGCAAATCTTTGTTAATATTTGTGTTTTAGTGTGAGTGTATGTTTGGTTGTTTTTAAGTATGAGTACGAAACTACCAACTGATGTGATAATTATTGAATTAAAAGATAAAAATTGAGTAGAAATTTATTACAGATATTAAGTTTGTCAATAATTATCACAGCAGTTGGTAGTTTCGTACTCATACTTAAAAACAACCAAACATACACTCACACTAAAACACAAATATTAACAATAATTATCACAGCAGTTGGTAGTTTCGTACTCATACTTAAAAACAACCAAACATACACTCACACTAAAACACAAATATTAAAATGAAATACTTAGTTTTAGTGAAGTATTTGGATCATTACTAGTTATTGTTCAATGAAATACTTAGCTTTAGTGAAGTATTTGGATCAGTACTAGTTATTGTTCAATGAAATACTTAGTTTTAGTGAAGTATTTGGATCAGTTCTAGTTATTGTGTATATTCAGTTAAGTGGTTTGATTACCTGTGAAACTGTAGAACTAATTATTTTTACTTTAGTCATAACACCTTTGGCAAGGTGTTTCCATATGAATGTCATTTATAAAGTTTGGCTTACAATTCAATAGTACAGAAATGATGTGTAGAAATAATAAGGAAAAAATAAATTTATTAGTTATCGTTATATGGACTTGACTTTTAATTATTTTCATTAAATAATTTAAACGAGTCCACCCAATGAAAGAAAAACAGTACTACAATAAGTTATTTCACATAGTATCCCTCTATTGCTGCGACATTAATTTTTGTTTAAAATTTAGGTTTGTTTAAAGCAAAAATCAATTCTTTGAGCAAAATTCCTAACACTTAACCTATAGAACTGGAACTATGATCAGAAGAAAAAGGTTTACCTTTGTTAATTCCTTGTACAGTTCAGGATAGGTTAGGGCAATGCTAGGAGAAACATCTTTATCGAGTACCAGGGAAAAAACGGGAAACATGGTGTATACTGTAGCATAACTTGAACAATAACTAGTACTGATCCAAATACTTCACTAACACTAAATATTTCATTGAACAATAACTAGTACTGATCCAAATACTTCACTAACACTAAATATTTCACTGAACAATAACTAACACTGATCCAAATACTTCACTAACACTAAGTATTTCACTGAACAATATCTAACACTGATCCAAATACTTCACTAACACTAAATAATTCACTGAACAATAACTAGAACTGATCCAAATATTTCACTAACACTAAGTATTTCACTGAACAATAACTAGAACTGATCCAAATACTTCACTAACACTAAATATTTCACTGAACAATAACTAGTACTGATCCAAATACTTCACTAACACTATTTCACTGAACAATATCTAACACTGATCCAAATACTTCACTAACACTAAGTATTTCATTGAACAATAACTAGTACTGATCCAAATACTTCACTAACACTAAGTATTTAATTGAACAATAACTAACACTGATCCAAATACTTCACATGTGTGTGTGTGTATATATATATTATGTATTTGAAGTTAAGTTTGAATACTTTTCTCTTTTCCAGGGACGCTCACTTTCTTTCAAGACTTTCTTTATTTGGGTTTTAATAAGTATATATCAAGGTAGGAATTTGTATTTCTTCACTGAATATTACAAATTAGGTTCATGTAATGCCCAAATTTCACTGTATTTATAACTTACCTGAGAAATGGTTCTTACCAGTTTGTTGAAAAACATCGTATTGCATTTATAACATTATTTTGTCAATGAGCAGAAATCATAGTTTTTTCTTTGTTGGCAAGATTTCAGCACCACTAAATAGACTGTAAAAGGACTTACAGAAGAAAGATTTCAGCACCACTAAGTAGACTGTAAAAGGACTTACCAAAGAAATATTTCAGCACCACTAAATAGACTGTAAAAGGACTTACCGAAGAAAGATTTCAGCACCACTAAATAGACTGTAAAAGGACTTACCAAAGAAAGATTTCAGCACCACTAAATAGACTGTAAAAGGACTTACCGAAGAAAGATTTCAGCACCACCAATGAAAGAATGTAGATTCCAAGACTGAATAATTCAGCCACAACCATCACCCAGTGCCACATACGTACAGTGAGTGCTACCATCAATAATTCTGTGAGAACTAAGGAAGTGAAGCTGATGGCAACAATGTGGATGAATTCATCTTCAAACAGTAACAATGCACCATACATTATGATGCCACCTGGAAAGTACAAAAATTGAAAAAGAATTCAAAACGAATTAGAATTAAATATTATTAAATTTCCATAAAATATAAATTATCAATCTTCACACAAGAAAAGTAATATATATACAAATTTTCAGTAAGGCCCTAATGCTTCCTTTGAGAAAACAAAATAAGTATTAATGATTCATGAGAATTGCATAAATATTACGTCACGACTACTGCTACATCAAGTTTTTGTTACATCACTTGTCAAACTTGGTCTTAGCAAAGAAAAACTGTAAAAGGACTTACCAAAGAAAGATTTCAGCACCACTAAATAGACTGTAAAAGGACTTACCAAAGCTATTTAGTGGTGCTGAAATCTTTCTTCTGTAAGTCCTTTTACAGTCTATTTAGTGGTGCTGAAATCTTTCTTTGGTAAGTCCTTTTATAGTCTATTTAGTGGTGCTGAAATCTTCCTTTGGTAAGTCCTTTTACAGTCTATTTAGTGGTGCTGAAATCTTTCTTTGGTAAGTCCTTTTACAGTCTATTTAGTGGTGCTGAAATCTTCTTGGTAAGTCCTTTTAGTGGTGTTGACATCTTTATTGGTAAGACCTTTTACAGTCTATTTAGTGGTGCTGAAATCTTTCTTTGGTAAGACCTTTTACAGTCTATTTAGTGGTGTTGACATCTTTCTTTGGTAATTCTTTTTACAGTCTATTTAATGGTATTGAAATTCTGTTTTACCTTTATCTATCTGTACTCAAACCTTTCATAAATCTTTGACAGTGTGTAAAGGCTGACATTGTCTGCTGCTTTATTTGTGTAATCTTTTTTTACAGTGGTGTGAATAATGATCATTTCTTCTTTCAAAATAAAAATTCTGAACATGTAGTCATGCTTTACTCAATAAAACCAAGCTACGTACCAATTAAAATAGAGTTATACACATCTTCACAACCTTTAATATGGCTGCATTTTGAGATTAACTTTTCATTTTGTTGGTTTATGTTTGACTGAAATGTTTACTATGCTGCCATTGTCCTTTGAAAACCAAATGACAATGATAAGGCACTTTTGCCAAATAACTTCTCCCAGTGATTATAGAAATTAAAATTTATTTCATTAATCTCTTGACTGCGGCTACTCTAAACATACACAGAATTTTTGAAAGCCATACATTGTATACGGCACACTCGCATTCCACTGCCAGAAACAAACCATTTCTTAAACAGCGAATCAGCAGTCAATGGGTTAATAGCAAAAACTACACATTAAACTACACTGCATACACACAAGATCTTTCTACAGAATTCTGTGTTTATTAAGGTGTAAGTTAACATTGTTTAATAAAAGTTTATTTTTAAAGCTTGTAATTGATAATTGTTTATATAAAGGCATGATGTAGCAGCTTTGTTTAGGTAGAATCAAATCAAAATAGGGTTATAATGATATACCATAATTGTTATTACTATTTCCTCAACAATATTTCTGTTCACATACCTGTTTGAAGTCACACATGTGCTGTTAAGTACTGTGTAGCTTTTACATTATATCTACAAAAACTGCTAGAAATATTTGTTTTACCTTAGATCTTCTTTACTTTTATGACTTCATAATTCTAGTTTATAACTTATGTATTAATAT